CAGTGTGCATCTTAGACCACAAGAAAAGGCAAATTACTTAATTTTTAAAAGTCTAGTTGATTTTTAAAATTTAATTTTGACTGGACACCACAGTAGCATTAAATATTACAATCACAGGTAATTATAAAAGCTTGTGGCTGTTCATTCTACCCAAAATGGTAAACGAAGCCCTGAAGTAAAAGTCTAGATAGAAAGAAAAATCAAGTGAAGCCATTGGAGTGGCAATATTCACCATATTTTTTCTTTTATAATATTTTCATGTAAAACCACATTTTCACACTCCTGACAAACATGGAAATACTGCAAGTTATTTGAAAATCGAAAAATGTAAGATGATGCCACTGTGCAATTCCTCTGGGGTACATCAAGTACATATTACAGGGAAACTTAAACACGTTGTGGTCAACTAGGATATTAAAGTCACAGCATTAACTGCACAACCCAAGTAAGTTTAACCATGTATGAACCATATTTATCATGCTTTTAATCTTTTATTTTAGTATTTATTCAGGATAAAGGTTTTCTACAGCCCAGTGATACTCTTCACTTGAGCAAAATTTCCAGTTACGTCAAACATTGAGACACACACTGTGAAAACCAGCCATCGTCAGGCATGAACACGCATTTGAATCTGAATCCCAGGTCTAATAAAAATTTGAAATGCTTAACAGAAGTCTCCGTAACTTCAAACTCCTACCAAAAATATTTTTCTTTCTTGTGTCTTTACATTACAAAAACAAAGTCCTGATTTTTAAGAAAATGTGGAAATGAGGAAAATTAAAGTCATCAGATTGAACTCAAACTGCAACATCTGAAAATATAGAGCAAACCACAGACCAGATTAATCTAAAGCAGTTTCCCTTTCAATGCCCACATTAACATTTCACTTTTAAGAGCTAAATTAAGGAGCTTACCTGATTGATTGATAAAATAGCTTTAAACATGGTTTTTAAAACTCACATTCTAAAATCAGCACAAGGGACTACATTTCCACAATTTTATGAAGGTTCAACAAAATACTTTGCCTCTCTAAACCATTTTTCGCAAAGGAAAATGAATCATTTGAAAACTTTCCCCGCTCCCCAAAACCTGGGTGAAGTGTTTACATATTCTCTATTAAGCAAATGATTCACGTTCACTGGTAACGGGTTCATATAATCAACCACTTGACTGCATAGTTTGGTGGCACCTGACTACCTGCTATATCCCTACACATAACTGAACAGATGAGCTTGATCCAAGACATATATTATAAAAAGCAACTTAATTTGACTACATTTTTGGGGGAAAGGAATTATGCACCGAGCAGCTTTGTAGTGCCCACAAAATTCCAATACTTTAATAAAGACAACTGAACTTGAGTAAACACACACTTACATAATACACCATGTTTTTCCACAGCTACCAGCATAATATGCCCTTAATATGTTCACTGTGATTCACAAAGGACAAAATAAATCCCCATCAATAAAGGATTAAAAATGGCGCAGGTCAATTCCTGTTAACTTTAGCAAATATCAATCAACACTTTGCCAAAAATAATAAAAAAATCCTTTCCGATATAACGTGCGTGCTTCCATTTCACTTTTAAAGCCCTTCTGCTGATTCCACCCTGGAATATGGAACTAAGATAATGCCTAAACTAGTCATCAGATGAAAATTTATCTTGATTCCTTTCCTAACTTCAGGGAAGAAACTACAGTGGACACTTGCCTTGTTCACATTTATTAACTCTGTAAAAAGTCTAGCCTTAAATCTTATGATTTATAGAATTAGACTGCATCAGTCACCCAGGAATTTTTTTGTAAAAATTGTACAGTCCTTCAATAAAAGTAATGGAAGGCAACATAAAAATTATAAAAGAAATCAAGATACCTTTGATTTTCTTTTATATCAACTAACTAGATAAATCATCAAGGTAGCATAAATAAACCAAATTAAAGAATAATTTTTTAAAAGTAAGTAAAACTATTGGGGGAGAGGCACTCCACAGACTCTTAAAGGAATGTTAAAAGGCTGTAAAGGGAAAACCATTTGTTTCAAAAATTGTATCACTACTAAGTAAGATGTTCTGCTTACATTTTGCAGAGCGCTACGTAATTAAAAAAACAGGCAAACAAAAACCCAAAATACATATCTGAGTCTAAATGTGAATCCCATTCTTAGTCAAGTTCTTGGAATTTCAGTCATAAATTGCAATTAAAAGCATGATTTCACCCACAGGAAATCAGTATTTCCAAATCCACTTATTTTAAAGGACAATTTTCACAATTAAATGCATATTAGCTAATTTGTATGCAATTTAATAATACATATACAAGCATACCCAATATGTCACAAATATATTTAAATTAGCGCCTCATGAGTGTTGGTCATATTGTGCCATCAGTGAAGTTTTTTGCATTTCATCAGGGATCTCTCTTTAAAGACTCATGACACAGTGCAGTCATTTTCCCATCCAATGTTTTTGAAATGCACCTTCAACTAAAATACATCGATTTTTACGACAGAGATTAGTGGCTAGCATCATCCAAAAAATAACACATCTGTAATTCATAGTGCTATGTTTTTAACAGCTCATTACCATCCATATTGTTAAAAACCCTAAAATTGCCTCCTCCCTCACTCAAAGGAAGAAGGGTAAAACCTTTGTCACATTTTTAGAATGTGTCAAATTTGCCCCAGAGGCAACACCTAAGCGCTGCCTAAGTCAGCATTTTTTCCTTTACCACTCTTTTTAAGCAGGGATGATAGAACTGCAAGTCCTGAATGTCTGCTACTAAGTACTGTATTGGTTTCTCTGGCTCAGAAGGCCTCATTCCATACATCAGCTATTAATCAGAGAATCAGGAATGCTTAGAAAAGGATGTGTAACCGATTACTATCCAAGTATTTATTTTTATATTTGTCCTTATCAAAAAATACTAAATGGGTCAAAAGTTATTTCAGCTGGAAATGTAATTTTACTTTAAGTTATCATTGACTTAAACAGGAGTAGAATCAAGCCCTGAAGCACATAACACATTTTTTTTTTTCAATCTCTCTTGCTCACACATCTTCCTGGAGAGAAATAACATACTAAGTCAACAAAAATAAATAAAAATTAATAATAATTAAAAAAATCTAGCCAGACTATACATTTTACAAAAAACAAACCTAGGAATTGAGCAGAGGAGAAAACAGGAGGGAAAATATGAAAGCAACATATAAAATACATTCACTTCTAAACCAGCACTAGATTTTTCTCCTTTTTTTTCAGCTTGCAACAACTTTTTTTTTTTAATTAGGACTATTATTTGACATTATTTCAAATAATGTGATGGCATTATCAGAAATCCTACCTAATTAAAAAAGTTATTTTTTAAATTTTAAACCAAAATGGACTTTGAATCAAGATTTCAAATGAATTATCGCCTTTTTTTCACAGTCCACTGTGTCCTATTCTTTCTCCCCTCCAAGAAGAATAAGTTTTCCCCTCTATAAAATATCAGTGAGTCAAATTTGACCAGATATAGTCAGCTTCTATGAAAAAGGAGAAATTTTGTAAACAATAAAAAAAAAATCTCCAGCTCTATGAAAAATCCACTTTAGTTTACTTTTATGCCAGAAACTCAAAAAATCAGATGTTTTATAGAGAATTGCAAAGGATATATGCCACCATTTATTTTGCCCAAATATATAAGGGTCAAAATTCAAGGAAAAAAAAACCCCAAAACCCCACATAAAATAAGCAACAAATGCCTCAGAACTGCAATACCTGCATAAGACAAATATTTCATGTCAAACTCGCATTCCATTTCTAAAAAGAGTCTCTCATTTTCACTACCTTACATCTACCAAGTGAGCAATTATGCAATATGTGGGTGTACCTTGCAGTCGTTTTCTTAACATCTGCATTCTGTGTTAAATTCTAACTGTACAAGATGTCTGATATTTTTTCTTTATCTTGAACCTTCAAAGTGGTAGGTTTACCAGAGGCAAAACCACACACCAGAGATATGAGTCATATAATAAAGAAACGACTCTTCCCCTTCTCCCCCTTCCACCCTGAAGCTATAATAACCTAAAGACACTCTATTGTAAATGGCTTCTTTGGTAATATTGATAGCATGAACAACTCTCAATCATTTAGCCAATGAATGAAGATTTTTTTTTTTAGTCCTTACTGTATCCATAACAAATTGCTCTCAGTATCATTTTAAGGCAAATTAAAATTTGTGCTACTGCAAATATAAAATTCCTTATAATATTCAGAATGTGTATGCACTTGCTTTCATGTCATGCATAAAATATAAAACATTCTATGCATTTTCCTATAAATAATAACATAAAAAAGATAAAAATAATCAAACATAAGATGCTTATGCAAGTTAATCCCAAAGGTACCTCTCATTTGTCTACTAAAAAGTAGCCTCTACACAGAAATCCTTAATTTTCTAATGATCCCATATCAAAAGATGGCAAAATTTACATACAAGTAAACCACTGCTCATGTCTACTACAATAAATACATAAGGAAGCAAACCACCTTACTTGACCACGGTTTACACAAGTTTCCACTCTCAAGTACAGTAAGTATGGAAAACACCACTGGGGCCACTCTATTCTTTTATTTCCTTTATATCCCTTTCTGTAGGTAGACTGTAACTCCTCAGACTGATATCCTGCATCTAATTCCACATAGGAAACCAGCTTTCAACAAAACCTTAGTTGAAGGGTCAATGTATAATTGTATCAGAAATTTTGAAGAGAAAAACTGAATGCAAAAACAGCAATTACAGACAGCAGCAAATAAATCAGTACCAACAAAACCTTGCACCACTAAAACAGGTGCAACCACCAGAGTCATGTAAGAAAGTTAACCTAATGGTGATGCTGGCATAAGCTCTTCCTCCCATGGCCATCTTCCAAAAAGTGAAAAAAAGCAACATTTCACTAAATGAAAGTGAAGCAACGCGTTCCCCATTGAAGCAGAATAAATCAGTGGTTTCTATTCTTACCTGCGTATAGTCAAAGTCAGAAAGAGGAGCTATACTCTTGATGTAGTCCATTCGAAATTGGTTTTCGGGGTTGGCCAATGGAACTGGGGGTATTAAAGTGCTCATAGCTGAAACTATAGTCTAGAATGGGATAAAACAAAAACAAATACATTAATCTGGATAAATCTAGGATACAGGATCAATAGAAGATAAGCCAATCTGATCAGCAAAATGGGATTTCTCTCAGCACAATCTTGGAGAGCACAATCCTTATCCTTATTTCCAGTACACCCAAGCATTTAAGAACAGTATAAAGTGTGTTCTTACCACAATCGCATCTTTAACATTTTTCCGAATATCCAGTATTTTCTGTTTCTTTTCTCTGCATTAAAACAGAAATATTAACACTTTGATTTTTTCTTCCAAAGCAGTTCAGTCAGTTGCATTTGTTTTTCACTGATCGCTTGTTTATCTGCTCTTCAATCATTACAACATACTAACAGAAAAGAACAGCAAGATAAATCTATTTTTCCCCTTATCCCTTTTCTTGCACAGTATGACGAGCAATGCACATTCATCCCTGATATTTTTTTTAAAATCAGACAATCATAGCCACATCTGCAAAGCCTCCCCTGATGGAACTGGAAGTCATTCTTTCATTTCTACAGCATGCTGTAAACATGCTCTAAATTAACAATACATATTGGAGGCCAACAGATATGTAAAATTAACGCTATGGATTAATAATAATTTCTGGCAAAGAGTTCTTCAGAGAAAAAATGATGTAGCCTCAGAAAACAGAATGATTTCTAGCAAACGTGCAAAATTAGTTTCAGTTTTACCCTAACCCCAATACCGGAAAAACAGCAGCCACTGTCATCCTGAGTACGACTTGACATGTATTTTTATATTACAGATGCAATATTTAGTTATTTGCTCCTATGTAAAAAGTAGTCGCCATGTTGTTGCTACACAGGGGCCTGTCAAGCGCTGCAGTAGCAACAGTGTAAAATACAGTAAAGGGGCCAGAAGGAGAAAATGCAAATATACAATAGCAGTAATTTCCTTATTCTCGCTCCCCTTCCTCCTCTCCCTCCCCAGAACGCAGTGTCAAGCCACCAAAACACGGGGGATGAGAGGAGAAATTTCCTAGCCTGCCGTGTGATAACCTGTTTCCAACATTTAACGAAAAATAAGTCACAAAGTGTCAATAATCCTTACTCTGAATTAAATCCATTGACATGTAGGATTCGCATTTGTTTCACAATAGTGCTTTTTCCTGACTCACCAGCCCCTAAAAGAGAAAGAAGGGAGAACATTATGATACGCGGTTCAAGCTGGGGGTTTGGGGTGGATTTTTTTTTTTTGGGGGGGGGGGGGGTGTTGTTGATTTTTTTGTTTTGTTTTGTTTTTTTGGACGCGACAGCATCTCCCACCTCCGGCAGCATTTCTGTATGTATGCATCCATGTGGCTGAGGCGCTGAGCTGGAGCTGCGGACGTCTCGCATATTGCTCAATACAACAGCCTACGTTTTTCATACCTAAGGCGCAC